ATGTATTGAATGTTGATGTCATTTTGGTGCTTAGAGAATGATAAAAGAAAATTACCAACTGAATAGATTTCCACTATGAGAAAGCAATTGTAATTCAAACATTTAAATAAGAAAATCCTATTTTAGGAAGAGAAAAGAAAAAAGGATAAATTCATGGGCGGGTTAGAACCAGCCAGCTGCTTTATGTGCTAAAAATAGTTTTGCCTTTGGAATCAACTTGTTGGGGAAATGTTCAGAAAAGATGGTTAGGTTAGGTCTTTCCTATCTCAAAATAAATACATTATTCTTGTCCCTAATCTTCCCATAGTTTTTACACTATCCTTTTTACAACCCAAGTTAAAAACAAACAAACAAAAAGGCATCTTAAGGACTGTATCTCCTATTTTACTCTTTAGTGACTGCAGTATTCTGACTTTTGCCCGTTTTCATTGAAACTGCTTTTCTTAAAGTTACCCTTAATCCGATTGCTAAATCTGGTGGACTATACTGACTGACAGCTTTTCAAAGCATCTGTGAATGTTGATCATGCCTTTCTGTTTCACTTTCTTTGATACTTTCCCTCTGACTATTCTTACTTTCTCCATCTGTTCCCTGAAATGTCAGTGCTCCTAAGGTTCTGTTCTTCACCTTTCTCTCTTCACAGTTTAGGTGATCTCCATGACTTTAATCACTATGTCTCCCAAATCTTTTTCTTTCTGTATTTCTCTTTTGAGTACCAGGTTCATATTACCAGAAACTTGTTAGCTATCTATACCAGGATGTTCTAGGGCCACATACACAGAGCACCTTCCCCTCCTGCCTTGACAAATGGCATGACATCTCCCAGTGGCTAAGCCCAAACTGGCTATCATCCCTAACTTTTTCCTCTGTCTCCTCTTTGATGTCATTAATTACCAAGCTCTAACATTTTTTTTCACATTTTCCCCACATTTTTTTATTGCTGTATTATGGGTGTAAAAAAATGATGAGATTTGTTGTTATATATCCACACATGCATACAGTGTAACCAATATAATTTGGCCAATGTCATTCCCTAGCACTTGCCCCTTCCCTCCCCATCTCACACTCCTTGGTCCCTTTCCTCTACTCATCTTCCTTTGCTTTTTATGTGATCACCTCCCTCTTGCCCCCATTTTCTTTCCTTTCCTCTCTAGCTTCACATATGAAAGAAAACATAACAACCCTTGACCTTTAGTTTGACTTATTTGCCTAACATAATGCTCTCTAGTTCCATCCATTTTCCTGCAAATTACATAATTTCATTTATCTTTATGGTTGAATAAAACTCCATATTTTTTATCCATTCATCCATTTTTAAGGTTTATTTTTTAGTTGTAGTCGGACACAATATCTTTTTTTTTTAAGTTGTTGATGGACCTTTATTTTATTTATTTGTATGTGATGCTGAGAATCAAACCCAGTACCTCACACATGTTAGGCAAGCGGGCTGCCACTGAGCCACAACCCTAGCCCTGGACACAATATCTTTATTTTATTTATTTATCTTTATGTGATGCTGAGGATTGAACCCAGGGCCTCACACTTTCTAGGCAAGTGCTCTACCACTGAGCCACAACCCCAGCCCATTTATCCATTGTTGATTCTGGAGTTTGGCTATTGTGAATTGTGCTGTTGTGACCATGGGTATGCGTGTATCTCTGTAGTATATTGACTTTAATTTTAAGTTCTAGCAATTCTAAAGTTCTAAGTGATACCCTGCAAAAAAAAAATTATTTTTTGAAAATAAAAGTATAAGACATCAATGTATAATTTGTGGATTTTTTTAAAAAATTCCTTCTTCTTAACTCCTATATGTAATTGATAACATTAAAGGTCTAAACTTTATAATTTAAAAACTTGTTGTTTCTTGAGTATTCATTGGTGCTATGCAGTATACTAGGAATTTTATTGTATTTTATTTCGTTCCGTTCTATTCCTGTTCCATTTCCAATCCTGGGGTTCAAACCCAGGGCACAAGCAAGTCATAGTTACTTTTACCAGATAGTTGGTATCATTCCTTTTCACTCCCCACAAAAGCTTGTGTTTATCTTCATCTGTCACTTGCCTCTTCTGTCTTCCTGTCTATAGACTATGAACTCCTTGAAGTCAAGAACCATATTGTGGGGCTGGGGTTGTAGCTCAGTTGGTAGAGCATTTGCCTTGCATGGTTCCGTCCTCAGCACCATACAAAAAYAAATAATTAAAGGTATTGGGCTGGGGATGTGGCTCAAGAGGTAGGGTGCTCGCCTGGCATGCGAGGGGCGATGGGTTCAATCCTCAGCACCACATAAAAATAAAATAAAGATGTTGTGTCCACCGAAAACTAAAAAATAAATATTAAAAAGTTATCTCTCGCTCTCTCTTTAAAAATAAATAAATAAATAAAGGTATTGTGTCTGTCTACAACTAAAAATTTTTTTTTAAAAGTACCATATGGTGATTCTAACTTTGATTTCTATATAATAAAGAAGGAGAGGGAAAGAAGAGATAGAAAGAAGGGGAAAAAKGAAGAAAGAAAGGAAATGAATGAATGAATCCATCCGTTAGATAGTGTATAAAATTATTAGGTAGTTTAGTCTCGAGTTTATTACCTTCATTTTTAAAAGGCAATAATGAACTGCTTCTTTATCAACATTAATCTACCATGCAAAAAAGCTGAAATGACATTAGTGGTGAGAGTTTAAAATTACTAATATTAACTCTGAAGATAAATTGCTACATTTGTTTGCTATCCTAAAGAAGAGCTGTACTTAATCTGTTAGTTTCTAATTGCTATAAGTAAAATGCTAAATCAACTTCCAAATTAACACCGGAATATATTTATGTGGCTCTTTCATCCTTATTAATTATTAATGTTCTTTTTATTGAATGTTGCAGATTTTTCAGATATTAAGTGTATTGTTTCAGGTGTGTCTATAGCTCCTTCACTTTTCCAGCCTTCTCTAAAGACAATGTGAGTCCACTTGTAGTACATTGTTGAATTAACCCATCACTCGGCTCCATTCAGTCCCCTTGCTATTTCAAGAAAATGTCTAGTAAAGAAAAAAATAATAATCTTATAATGCTTTGATGATATTATTATTGTGCATTTTTACAGATATAATAAAAAAATTCCTTCCTATGTAACAATTAGTTGGTGATAAAATATCACACCTGGTTAACTGATGACTGTGAGCTTTGTAGCTACAGAGGATCAAAATGAACTGAAGTATATCACGTACTTCTCATCCTACCACCATTTTCACATAATTATTTGAACTGTACCACTATTCTTGTTTGTTCCCCTCAAACATTCCAACCAAATCTTTAGAAGGAAATCCCCCCTAAACTTTGAAACCACCGAACAATATATATGTAATAACATATGCAGGAGAATAGGGGCAGGGGATTTCAGAATTTTTCTAGTAAGCTAGAAGTTATTCATGTATTCTTTTATCCTGAATGCAGAATAATAATTTTTATTAGGGCAAACAGTTTAAAAAACTTGTCTCTTTCATTAATAAGTTTCTTCATATATTCTAATCCTGTTTGCTATCCAGCATGGCAAAGTACGTGTTTCAGCATAGCAGAAGCACTCTAAAGAATTGAAAATAAGCCAGGTGCGGTGGTGCACACCTCTAATCCCAGTGGTTTGGGAGGCAGAGGCTGGAAGATTGTGAGTTCTAAGCCAGCCTCAGCAATTTAGTGAGTCCCTAAGCAACTCAGTGAGACCCTGTCTCTAAATAAAATACAAAATAGGGCTGAAGATGTGGCTCAATGGTCGAGTGCCCCTGAGTTCAATCCCTGGTACCTTCCACCCTACAAAAAAAAATTAAAAATAAAAGTATAAGACATCATTGTGTAATTTGTGGATTTTTTAAAAAATTCCTTCTTATTAACTCCTATATGTAATTGATAGCACTAGAACTACCTGCTAGGAACATTCCTACAAGTTTGATCCATGTCTGACTATTGAGATGGTTCTTCATAAACCTTAACTTTTCAAGGAATGCAAAATGGGAAGGAAAAAAAGATTCTTTCTTGACAAAGTCAGTTTATATTGGAAAGGCCAGAATTTTTTTTTAACTACCAGAAATTTACTATCAGTTTTTCTCACTATATTTTTTTAACTTAGAATAGATAATATATGAGTGCTCAGCATAGGTCCATGATAGAAGGCTTGCCAAGAATTAGTGCAAGGTCAAGCACCACCACAAACAAACAAACAAACAAAAAAACACTTTATAAGCAAAGCTGGACATGGTAGCACATGCCTATAGTCCCAGCTACTCTTAAGATTGAAGCAGAAGGATCACTTAAGCCCACAAATTTGAGACTATCCTGGGCAACAGACATTCCCTCTTAAAACAAACTAAAACACCAAAAACCTAAAGAGCAAACAAAAAAAGAGTGCGAAGTAAGATATTTCTTTGTTACTTTTAGTACAGAATACACAGCTACAGGCTACTCAAAGCACTATGGTAGTTAAACTGGTGTTATTTCAGATGCACAGGTCAAGTTAATGCAGGTGCTTGCTTAGGTTTTAAACAAATCCAGATTACTCACTTGAAATGGCAAAAATCCAAGGCTGAGCTTTCCTCAGAAGAGAAGTGGGTCAGAATGTAATAACAGAAATTATTATGCATAATAGTGAAGAATTTAAGAAGCAACTGCTACTTGTATTAGGCTACAGCGTAAGTATATATCACATCAGCATTACCAGGCTTCTTAAATAAAAGAAATAGTCAATGGTTTTTAATAATTATTATATTTTATGATTTATAAGTCAGATAAACAATTTTTAGTTTAATGTCATCTTTTGTTCTAGGATTTCTAATTACTTGCTGAGATACACACTGGCTACTGAAGAAGCTTCTGTGACTTAAATTGTGTTTATTCTTTGAAAGTGAACTCTCATCTTTCTAACTCCCAAGTATTAGTGAAATAAAGTGAGCAAACTTATACTTTGATAATTCTTTGATTTTGAATCTAGCATTTCATTCATTTTTCTTTGCTTACAGAACTTCCTTATGGCTGGGAGAAGATAGAGGACCCTCAGTATGGGACATACTATGTTGAGTAAGTTTGTTATCTCAGTTAATGTTCTCTCAGATGTTCTCCTTTCAGCATACACCTTTAGGGAATACTAGATATGGCACTTCTTGCTTCTGTGAATCTAGTGTGTGCATGTTTCAGCTAGTGCTCAATAAATGAGCACTTACTTCACTGACCTCGAATCTCCCAGAAATTGGCTTTGAATTTCTAAATATAGAAAGTAAGAGGTGGAAGCCTGGTATGTGCCTGTAATCCCAGCTCCAGAGGAGGCTGAGGCAGGAGGATCACTTGAACTCTGGAAATTAAGACCAATCTGGGCAACATAGTGAGATCCTATCTCAAAAAGAGACAGGTTGCTTTGAGGGTTAGTTGCTGGAGATAATGTCATTTGTTCTATACCTTTAAAGAGAAAAGCAGTAGATAGAAAACTGAAATGAAGGCACTGGAGAGAAGAACTCTTGAGGTCACTTCCAACACTACCAGTGTGTATGCTTCTGAAAACAAAGGACTTTAAGGGCATCGTAACATCAGGATCCAACATTTTGAAATACACAATTAAAAGTGTGTTCTCCTTTGAGTTAATAAAAGAAGGCTTAGTATTTTTTTCAGGGGTGAACGTTGCTTCTTATGTAACTGTTATGGTTAAGTTTAAGTATAAATGTGTGTCAGAGAGGAGCACAAAACACCTGCATGTTATCCAGAGAAATTAGACCAGTGTCACAACTGATTTTTCTTTTTCTGATCACTACATTGTTACAACCATTAGAATAGCCTTCTTTCCCACATGCTACAGATAGGATTTCAACCCTAGGTGTCTTGTGTCAACAAAAATTGTATCAGGAACATTACTATTTACCTAGAACTCAGAGTCCGAACCTACTGCCTGAGTGGCGAAGGCAAAAATGATATTTTCACTTGGAAAAATAACAAGCACAAAAATCTAGGTGTTTTGTTGTTGTTGTTGTTGTTGTTGTTGTTGGTACTGGGGATTGAACCTTCAGGTGCTTTAGTACTGAACCACATACCCAGTACTTTTTCTATTTCTTTATTTTTGAGACAGAATCCCATGAGGTTGCTGAGGCTGGCTTCAAACTTGTGATCCTCCTGCCTTAGCCTCCTGAGTCGCCGTGATTACTGATGTGCACCACTGCACCTGTGTAGAATCTTCTAGATTTATGATTGCTTTTTAATTTTTCAACACTTGTTGACATAGAACAATGCCATTTCCTGGCAATTATCCCTAAAGTAAGATCTCTGGCTTTTACTGTAGTCTTTAAAATATAGGTTATTACCGAGTCACTCTGGTTAGAGAGATTTTTGGAATTCCTTAAAATCCAATATGTATCCTGAGAAAGCAACTCAATTAGATTGACCTTTAGGTGTATAACTTCACAGTTGCAGGTTGTTTGTTCTTTTCAATAGCTATGCTGATTTTCTTTCCATTGTGTTACTTAATATGTTGATGATACTGATGAAATGTGATATGAAGAGTATACAGCAGCTCTTTTGTTATTTTTTTCTAAGGCATATTTAGTTTTAAAAAAAGGAAAAAACAGCTGTCTTTCAAGTCAAAGGGGTATTTGAAAGCCAACTAAAAATGCTTTATGGGATTTTTTTCTTCCTCTTATAGTTTAGCCTATTTAAATTGGGCTTCAATCAACTATTATTTGCCATTGACACTGCTGAACATTTCTGAGATAATGATTCTCATTATTAGCCATTCCAAGTACATGGGCAAGAGGTGAAAGTCATTTGCCTGTTATAAAATCTTGAGATGAATGATCTTGTTCCCATTAAGCAAGAATATAATATTGAAGCAACTTTAGGACAAGTCCTGAAGTGACATGCTCCCAGTTGTCATGGAGGTACGTGGAACAGCCTGAATTAAAAGCAACAACATCAGCAGCAGCACTGAGATTTTGTGTGATTGTTCCCAGAATGAGCTCATTTACAGGAAGATAATTTATTAGATTAAGAAAGAGCAGACAGTACTCAAGATGCACATTAGTATGGAGTCAGCTGAGCTACAGAGTGTGGCTTGATTCCCAGATGAGCTACATTTTGAATCTCAACTGTAGTAATCTGCAGTGAGTTTACTGATGGAGATAAAAAGCTGTTACTTGAATGGCTACTCTTTGGCTCTCTTACTTTGTCAAACCAGATGGCACAATGATTGCTTTTGGCAGGAGCCTTTGAGGAGTAACAACAACTGCAATAGCATTTTTTTTCTACGTGAATTTTTATTTTAAAGGGTGATATTCTGAAATGGATTATTTTTTAAATGAATTTGTTTCAGAATTTAATGATAGGACTTTACAAAATATTTACATATTTAAAAATCTTGGCTTTATTGTATCATATTAAAGGCCTCTTGGGCTGGGATTGTTGGCTCAGTGGTGGAGTGCTTGCCTAGCATGTGCGAGGCACTGGGTTCGATTCTCAACACCACATATAAATAAATTAAATAAAGGTTCATCAACAATTAAAAATTTTTTTTTAAAAAGGCCTCTGATATATATCTGGTTTCTTATCTCAAATTCTTCATGAATTTGTTGAGGTAAATTTCTAAAATCTAGATATTAGACACAAAATTGTGATACAGATTTCCAAATATATATTATATGTTTAATTATGCTTATCTGCAACCCTTATTTAATTTTTCTGACAATCTATGATATTCTTTCTTAGGAAGAAAATTATTTATGGAATATCTCTAACTCCCTGGCTAATTATATGGAAAACAAAATCTGTTAACATCTTATTTGTTTGTTACATCTTAATAATATGTGTATATAAGTAACTAAATGAAAAGGAGAGTATTTTCATTTTTTGTTTTGTTTTAATCTGAATAATTTAAGGTAACAGATGCACTTAACTTTCTTCATTAAGTCTTCTATTCTTTTGTCAGAGTATTTTTAGGAAAAAGATTTATCATACACATACTTCTACCCTCTTCTCCCACACATCACAGAGGATATAAATACAAATCACTACTTTTTATGGTCTAATGCCTGGGTGGCAAAATGAGTCATTCTAGATAATAATGTTAAAGGGAGCCAAGGGTTCTTTCTAAACTGATTTGTTCTTTTCTGAGTGTCAGTCTTTAGTTTGTTTGTTTTTTTTCTTAAGAATATGTAAAATGTCAGTTCCTAATAATTTATTTAAAAACCTTAGATTTAATAAAAACCTAAGAATTTCATTTTCACAGAGGTTTCAACAGTTAACTTAATGTGCCTCTGTTAGTTTGAGACAGAAGCATGCTTAAGCTTTAGTGAAATTGGAACCCAGAGGATCTCCAGTGGAACTTGCCATATTTAGAGTTCTGAAATTAAACAGCCACATTTGTTGTGGAATTTATATGCCCTAGAAGCCTAAATGACAAAGAAACCTAACATTCTTTTCTATATGCTATTTATTTTGACCCTGCTGCCTTTCACCACTATCACCATAATGTTCACAAATGACAAAGTATATATCTGATTTATGTAGCTATTTATATGTAGATTTTATAATAGTAAGCCTGTCCAAAAACAATAATATCCTGAAACTTTCATGATCTGATGTTTAATTGTTACCCAGTAATGTCAATTGTTAAAGTGGACTTTACTGGAAAACGTATCATTTGGCTAAAATGTCTTTGTGGCAGTGCTAAATATGGTTCCCATTATTTCTACGTTAGACCTAATAGTTTTACACATATTTTTATTTATTTATTTTTTAACATCAGTGTGTTTACTTAACTGACTCACTATGTTCCCTGTGTAAAACAACTGCTGCCCATGGAATGTTGAGTTCTATTGGCTAATGACCTGCCCTCTAGTCTTCCTACATCCTTCTACTTTCCCTCAGATTTCTCTGCTTTCCAAGAGTCAGTTGGGACTGTTCCTGATCATAAGTGCTAGTTAAACTTACCTTGTACTCATAAAACTAAATTATTATATAAYTGTGAAGAAATGTAAGTGTAAAAGGAAAGAGTTATTCTATAAGGCAGTGTGATAAAACAAAGTCATTTTTCTTAGTTGCTACTGAATTGACGTGGGCAAGTAATATGCTATGATACTCTTCAAAAAGTTCTTCAAAAGTATCTCTACAGCTTGCTTCATTTTGGAGAAACTTAAAACCCTACTATCATTAACTTCCTTTAAAAAAATTTTTTTAACTGACCAATTTACCAGCACTTCTCATTACATCAGGTAAGGTTTTTAGTGGAGTTTCGACAGTTGTTACTCATTATATTGACTGGATTTACCGAGAAGCTACAGTTAATGTGTCTCATAAGCTTCAGTAGCTTTGACTTCCAGATTCCTTCTGTGGGCCTTTTTATCTCTGTCAGTTTCTCTGTGTTGTGTAACCTATTGAATACATACATATCAATCTCTTAATCTATGGTGACAAAATGGTATGATGATCTATTTTAAAATATGTAATTTTCTCATATTTTTCTTCATTTTATAGTCACCTTAACCAGAAAACCCAGTTTGAAAATCCGGTGGAGGAAGCCAAAAGGAAAAAGCAGTTAGGACAGGCTGAAATTGGGTCTTCAAAACCAGGTAAAACTTTGTGTTTGAACTATTCTTCTAAAAATCAATTGTGAAATTTGTGTGCTGAGTTAATAAAAATGAGTTTGAACTTTTCATTGCTAGGGCTTTGAAATTGAACATACAGTGTCTAATTGTTGCCACTAAAAAGATATGAATAGTCTTAATAAAACATCTGAACATTGTGAGAATACTGAGATTTTTCTCATGACTGTATAAAGAATATGAAATTATTGAGAGGAAGGAATGGAGAGATTTTTTTATTAATTTGAGGTTTGAATTTGAAGATTAGATTATTTCTTTATGTTTAAGGTCACACCCAGGATTTCTAGTTCATTATGTGCTTCTCCCAAGCTAATTGCTTAAATATAATGTCTGTAACCATTCAGAAACCTGCATTAATTAGTATTAATTAGCATCTAATAAGTCTAAGAAATTCTTTGCCTACRTCATAGGATAATGATGTAGGTAGATATTAGTAATATCAGAATTATTTGGGGGGCATTTTAAAAATACACAAAGTCTTTTTATTTTTGTTTTACTTGTTTGTTTGTTTGAGACAGGGCCTGGAAAAGTTGCTTAGGGGCTTATTAAATTGCCGAGGCTGGCTTTGAACTTTGGATCTTCCTGCCTCAGTCTTCTGAACACTGGGATTACAGGCATGCACCAACATACCTGGTTCCATGAGATCTTAATGATCCTAGTTATGTGTATTTTGAAAAAACTGTGCAGGAAATTCCTATATTTTATCCATTCCTTCTCATTTCCTTCCCCTTTCTCAACTGTCATTTATAGCCAGGGGTCTATTTGGTCATTTTGTAGTAATTCAGTGAACTCTCTACTTGGGTTGCCTATGAAAAAAAATGGTTCTTTCTTGCAGCTACTCTTTAAAATCATAGACCAATCTCTCCWTAAGTTTTGCATATGCTTTAACAAACATTTTGAGTTTAACAAATATTTTTGAGTGTTACTATATGCCTGGTAGGGCTTGCTAGTCACTGGGTTTTCAAAAATGATGGAGATTAAGACAGGTCTCACCATTAAGAGATCATAGTTTCTTATACTAATGGTTGTAGCCTGGGGTGATAGATGCTATTCATTTAACTATTCATAGTAGTTAAATGTGTAGGCTGAGGAGTAGTTTTGAAATTCATCTATGTAATCTTGGATAAGTTCCCTGAATCCTTTGTGCCTCTGTTTTCTCATTTATAAAGTAGGAATAAAACTAGGAATGGTGGCACAGGCTTGTAATCCCAGCAACCCACGATGCTGAGGCAGGAGGATTACAAGTTCAAGGCTAACCTCAGCAACCCAGTGAGACCCTGTCTCAAAATAACTCTGGATATAACTCTGGCAAAACACCCCTGGGTTTAATTCCCAGTATCTAAATAAATAATATCTGCCTCTTAAGATGGTTATAAATATGTAAATTAATGCATAAAAATGTTCATAAACATTTGTGAGGCACTGGGTTTGATTCTCAGCACCACATATAAATAAATGAATGAAATAAAGGTCCATCAACAACTAAAAAGAATTTTTTTTTTAAGTTTATAATATTTGGGCTGGAGTTGTAGCTTAGCAGTAGAGCGCTTGCCTTGTACCTGTGAGGTACTGGGTTCAATTCCTAGCACCACATATAAATAAGCAAATAAAATAAAGGTCCATCAATAACTAAAAAATATGTTTTAAAAAAAGTCTATATATTTGGCTTGTGGCTATCAATAAATGCTTTTATTGTTATTAGTAGAGATGTACAGTATTCACTTCTTATCTGCTGGGATATCTTCCAAGATCCTCAGTATGCCTAAAATCATGAATAATACAAAACCTTATATATATGCTAATAATACACACACACACACACACACACACACACACACACACACATGCCTTTGATGAGCTTTCGCTTTCTTACTTAAAGGAAGCCCTGTGGCTTCTCTTTGACATATACAAATCACCAGCATCACTACTCTTGTTGCTTTTGGGACCATTAAGTAAAATAAGGGTTATTTGATGACAAGTACCTTGACTTCATGAGAGTTGATCTGATAACCCACATGAATAGTGTAGACAGCATAGATATGCAGGACAAAAGATGATTCATGGGGCTGTAGCTCAGTGGTAGAGCATCGCCTAGCACAAATGAGGCACTGGGTTCGATCATCAGCACTACATAAAAACAAATAAATAAAAAAATAAAGGTTAATTTCTTAAAAAAAAAAAAAGTTGATTCATGTCCCAGGTGGAATGGAACAGGATGGCATAAGATTTCATCATGCTATTCAGAGAGTCATGCAATTTAAAACATGAATTTTTTATTTCTGGAAATTTCTATTTAATATTTTTTATTTATAGTTGACTGTGGATAATTGAAACCACAGCAAAGCTATGATAAGAGGATACAACTCTAGGGTGAAAGAAAGTAAGCACAAATAAGACAATTAGGAGAAGTAAAGGTAGGTGGTTTCCTATAAAAGAAAGGGATTTATTAGCTATTATTTCAATGATTTAGTTTATGAGCTTAAAATGCTAGTTTTCTGCATTAGGTTTGCTCTGATTTTCTATTCTTTATGGTTTCCTTGAGTTATATAGACTATCTTGAAAATTGGCTTTGTGTGTGATGTATATTCATCATAATTATTTTTGTTCTCAACCCATTTCTTGTTTTGGCCCAGATGTGGAAAAATCACACTTTACTCGAGATCCATCCCAACTTAAAGGTGTCCTTGTTCGAGCATCACTGAAAAAAAGCACAATGGGATTTGGTTTTACCATTATTGGTGGAGATAGGCCTGATGAGTTCCTACAAGTGAAGAATGTGCTTAAAGATGGTCCTGCAGCCCAGGATGGGAAAATTGCACCAGGTAATGAGTTTGTCACAATCACTTGAAGAGCAGTGATACTATAACAAATATTATAGCAAAGAGGATGGAGATACACACACACACACATACACACACACACACATATACACAGTGAATTATAGAACTAAAGAAGGTTACTGTATTAAAATGTTTAGCCTCAAAATTAGAAGCATGCTAGCTTGAGGGAAGGCTATTTTTAAAAACAAGCAGATATTATTAGAGGAAACATTAAATTTATTAATTTTTGGAATATTTTGTATAATTTTAAGATAATTCGTTGGTTATACAAAACTACAGTTTTATTAACCATCTCAGAAAACCATTTGAACATTTGATTTTCTTTGATTATGTAGAGTACTTTTGGAGGTAGGATTTGCTTATAATTGTTTTTGAAAAAAGGTTCTTTGTTAAAAGGTTATAGTGATAACAAATTGTTATATCCTGCAGTTTTTGTTTTTTGGGGGGGTGGATACCAGGGATTTCACTCAGAGGCACTTAACCACTGAGCCACAGTGCCAGCCCTATTTTGTATTTTATTTAGAAATGAGGTTTCACTGAGTTGCTTAGTGCCTTGCTTTTGCTGAGGCTGGCTTTGAACTCATGATCCTCCTGCTTTAGTCTCCTGCCTCAGTCTCTTGTGCTGCTAGGATTATAAAAGTGATTATAATATTGTAAAATCAGGAAAACAAAATTAAATTTTATAAAGACTAATTTAGCTGACTTTTCAGTGTTTTAAATAATACAGTCATTTTTGTGTTGAATTTTTTGTTGTGGCTTCCGCTTTTAAATATCTGATTTATAATAAATTCAGAATCTCTACAAATAGAAGGACACTAAAAAAAAACACATTCAGGGCTGGGGTTGTAGCTTAGTGGTGGAGTGCTTGCCTCACATATGTGAGGCACTGGATTCCATCCTCAGCACCACATAAAAATAAATAAAGATATTGTGTCCATCTACGACTAAAAAATATTTTTTTTAAAGAGAGAGAGAGGGGAGAGAGAGAGAGAGAGAGAGTTTTTAATATTTATTTTTTCTCGGCGGACACAACATCTTTGTTGGTATGTGGTGCTGAGGATCGAACCCGGGCCGCACCCATGCCAGGCGAGCGCGCTACCGCTTGAGCCACATCCCCAGCCCCTAAAAAATATTTTTAAAAAAAGAAAACACATTTATAAGTTGACATTATTCAAATTTCAGTTTTACGTTTCTCAAATGAGAATAAATTTTTAAGTATATTTATAACCTGTGGCCTGTTAAAATCAAGAAATAAGGCGGTAATGAAGGATAGCTTGTATGTGCAAATAGCCAGTGATGCTCATCTTCTGTGCACTAAATACTTACCACAACATATTGAGCTTTGTGTGGCCACCTAGGTAGGACTCTGTATACAAATGTTGATAATAAAATTTGCAGGGTTTTTTTTCCCCAAATGATTCACTTGAACTTGAGGTCAAAACTCTTTGCTGCTAAAATAATTAAGACTTTAGATATTTATATAATTTTTTTAGTGAGAAGTCATGAGAGAGAGAATGTCTGTTAGAAATGTTATCTTTTCAGTAAGTAATGAACAGTAAGGTAATTCCAGAATTCAAATTTGGTTGTTAAATTTACTTTTGCCTTTTCTCTAGCAAAAAGTTATTTTTTAACATGATTATATTTTATCAGGTGATGTTATTGTAGACATCAATGGCAACTGTGTCCTTGGTCACACCCATGCAGATGTTGTCCAAATGTTTCAGTTGGTACCTGTCAATCAATATGTAAACCTCACTTTATGTCGTGGATATCCACTTCCTGATGACAGTGAAGATCCTGTTGTGGATATTGTTGCTGCTACCCCAATAATCAATGGACAGTCATTAACCAAGGGAGAGACTTGCATGAATACTCAGGATTTTAAGGCAGGAGCAATAGTTCTGGACCAGAATGGAAAATCTGGACATATCTTGACTAGTGATCGTCTCAATGGTGCATCAGATCCAAATGAGCAGAGAGCATCCATGGCCTCATCGGGCAGCTCCCAGCCTGAACTAGTGACCATCCCTTTGATTAAGGGTCCTAAAGGTTTTGGATTTGCAATTGCTGACAGCCCCACTGGACAGAAGGTGAAAATGATATTGGATAGCCAGTGGTGTCAAGGCCTTCAGAAAGGGGATATAATTAAGGAAATCTACCATCAAAATGTGCAGAATTTAACACATCTCCAAGTGGTAGAAGTGCTAAAACAGTTCCCAGTAGGTGCAGATGTACCACTCCTTATCTTAAGAGGAGGTGAGTAAAAGCATAACAAAGAAAAATCTTAATGTTCAAGTGTTTATATTTTTTAATTGTCCTTCTTTATAGGTTAGAATGTCTTTCCCCAKAAGATTTCACTGGTAATCCACTGATTCTGTCTGATTATTTCTATAAGCAGTATCTTTTTTGGCAGTGTTTTAGTTACTAGTGGTTTCATATGTGTCCATTATTGATTTCTTTCCCACTGTATTCTTTTAAAAATCTGATTTATGGGTTTAATGACCAGAGAGAGCCTCAGTATTATGCTATGTCAAGTGAAACATATTCTCTTAATTTCACTTTCTCTGTTGATGAAAATAATAGAAATTGACTCTTTCAACCAGTGGTGTTTCATCTGGACTTCTATAATACACCAAAGATCTTCTGAAAGAGCTCACATCTCTATGGATAAGTAAAACATGGTGTGCTTTGTTAACCTGTTCGGCAAAGGCAGTCATGATAGCTTGTGCTCAGAAAGCTTTTATCTTAAGCTCTAATGGCTGCCTGAAAATGTTAATTAAACCTCACTGTGCTTATATGAAAGAAGTGAAATTTTTATTTTTCAAGGTCATCAGCTGACACAAACTGTTCCCAGGCATTATAAATCCAGTTCCAAGCACTAACCACAAAGTTGCATTTTAATAGGCTTTCTCACATCTGTACCTATAAATGACTAATATTTTTATTAAAGAATGAAATTTAGTCCTACACTTTCTTATCACTCTGGCTTTTTAGTTAAGTTTTTTTTTAAACAAATGAAGATTTTATTAGCAAGTTTTTCTTTATTCTTGTTTCTTTGAACCTTTTTGTTTTTTTCTCATGGTGATATGGTAGAGTGTGCTGAAAGTCAGAAGGAAATCTCTTTGTTAGTGCTGGACAGTTATCCAGGGCTTTGACAAACATACAAAGAAACCTGAAGTTGATGTCCAACAGGTTGATGTCATTTTCTGCCTTACTTATTGGTTCTATGGTGTAGAAAAGAATCTTAGTTTACCTTATCTATTAAATGATAATAGCATATATGCCTTAGGATTGTTATGAAAATGAAATGAGACAATAGATATATATGCCTGGCACATAGAAAGTGTTAGATAAAAACAGTTTACTAGCCTGCTAGAAGTCATAGCTAGTTTATTATAAACATTAGCAGTATGTATGATCTGAGAATGCTGTTTTTAAAATTTGGCTCATTTTTTATTTTTTTTAAGGCCCCTCTTCACCAACTAAAACTGCCAAAATGGTGAGTATTACAGTTGTCCTCAAGTGTTTCTTCCCTACTCAATAGGCGAGGTGCCAAATTTTCCTCTGTGAGAGCTCATGAGATGGTGGCTGGAAAGAGGATGACAAGCTGATCTCAAACTATACTTTTAGGCTATTTATTTTATATATATATATATATATATATATATATATATATATATATAATTATGTAGATATGGAAATGAAGTCAATAGTTTTTAAATTCTAATTTAGTTCTGGAGTCTTTCACCTCAAAATTAAAAAAAGGTCTCTCATAACCATAAATCATACACCATTAAAGGAAAGACCATCCCATATTAAATAAATCAATTTCTTCTAGCCCACTAAGTAGGAATCCTTTGCAAATTTGCTGTTGTATGGATCAAAATGGAAGAAACACTCAGCTTCTACCCTCTGTACAAACTGTACAATCAGGTCCAGTGTGAACACAAATTTTTGTCCATTCACTTAAAGTCACACCATATTTTTGTGTACATTTCTCTGCCTCCCTAGCATCATTTTTAACTCCTGTGCCACCATATCTATTAGATGCCATTGCAGCCATAGTCACCCTAATGCTTTATAATTGATGGAAGGCTATGGTGACATTGAACAACTTGTGACAGAATCCTAGGATGTGTGGGTGATGGGAGAAGGCTGCTTTCACCTTCTCTTCCATCTATCTGGGTGTAGGTCAGCAAGGGGATTCCCCTGTAACGTGGTGAATTTGTGGTGCCTGACCCCCTCACTGCCTCTTCCCAAGCTGGTGCCCTTGCCTTCTAGTCAGCATTACTTATAGAAATCTGTAATCTCCTGTCCTAACAAAAATTCCGGATGACAAGCTGATCTCAAACTATACTTTTAGGCTATTTATTAGATTTCATTTCTAAATTTATAATTTAGTCATTTTGCTTGACAATTATTTGGGGAAAGTTCTGAGTAGAAAAGGTATCAAAATAAGCTGCTCTGTTTTCCGTTCTCTGATTGATCGCTTAACATGTATTTATTTGAATTGACCAGGCAGAGTTTTCAATATTATTTTTATAACCTAAATTGGAGTTAACGCTCCCTAGTCCATTTTCTTAGGAGAAAATATTATCTTAAACATCTTCATTGGAAATTAAATTCAGTGATTGGAAGGTGGAGCTCATGAAGAATTTGATGAAGGTATTCTCTGAGGCTCCCTCTTGCTTTACTTCCTTGTGCTTCCTTGTGTTGGATTCCTATTTGTCTTCATCCCAAAGTCAATTTTTGTCTTGGTGATACAGAGAAAATGGAAAAGTTGTTTAAACATAAGACTAATTGAGGCGCTTCACTTGACATCACTATAACCCTTTTTCTAATTTAAGTTAAATATGTTTTAGCCAGATATATACATGAAATTGAATTCCAAGACTGGCGGTAGACTGTGCCTTTGACCCTGCCACTTATACAGCTGTACTCAGTACTTAGTTCAGACAGCAGTTTTATGAATTAATCAACCATTTTATTTTTTAAAAAAATACTAAGTAAGTCCCTTTTCCATTTCAGAAAACAGATAAAAAGGAAAATTCAGGAAGTTTGGAGACTATAAATGARCCCATTCCCCAGCCTATGCCTTTTCCACCCAGCATTATCAGATCAGGATCCCCAAAGTTGGATCCTTCTGAGGTCTACCTGAAGTCTAAGACTTTATATGAAGATAAACGTAAGTAGTGATGGAATATTTCAGGAGAGAATATAATAAGATAAATTGATTTATTTTTAAACTAGAACCTTCCCATCTTTCAAAAGAATAGTAAGAAGTTATTCCTTCATTCTCATTTTAATATGACTCTCAGCTTCTTACATGTACATTCAGTGTTCATTTATTTATTTTTTAAAAAACTGTGTATTAATTTTTTTTGGCCAGCAGTCTAGCAGACATCACATTAGGCAATTGGAATACAGAAATAAATAGGTTACATAGGCCCGGCACCCAGAAATATTATTAAGTCTAAATGGAAAAGCCAAATGTGTAATCAAATAAGTACTTATATAGATAAGTACACATGAGGCTACCAGGTACAGTTATAGAAGGATCAGCTGCTAATTTGGATCCAGAATAAGAAACGGTCAGTTTTTCAGTGTGAGTGGGACACAGTAGTAGGCAAAGCTTCATAGAGGAAGTAAAGCTGGAGCTAAGACTTAAGGACAAAGAGGTGCTTATGAGGAAGACAAAAAGGAAAGACAGAAGGAGTAGCATTCATTTGCAGGTTGGCCTTGTGTGGCCTGGATTCTAAGGTATGGCTGGGTGTGACTGGCAAGGGAAGCCAGAGACAGAGCAGGGGCAGATAGTGAGAGCCAATCACTCACTTCTGAAGAAGCTGGAGTTGGTCATATAAATGACAGAGAGCCACAAAATGGTTTTAACTATAGGGAAAATATTTGGGGGCCTGTGTTTTAGAGAGATTTTTTTGGCAGGAGTATATTTTAATAGGAAACCAGAGTCAATGCAGAAATTCATTTTTATRTTTATTTACCTACTGATGACAAATCTTTTCTAAATTAAAATTACAGCTATAAGTAGGTTTAATTTATAAAAATTTGTTCTTAAACAAGAGATCTGTATGTACCATGAAAAACAGATACCCAGATAGAAATATAATATGTAATTCACTTCATGCTTATTAACTTAGTTGTAGATCTTTATTATCATATCTCCAGGCCATATCTAGAAAGAGAAAGACCAGGTGTAAGCATGGCAAAGCAATAATTTAAATTAGTATAACTGTACAGTTCCTTCCTTGAGACTTCCAATTCACAGCCTGATATAATTTTAATATTGCAGTCCCATTGGGCCTCACCCACAAAAATGTACTTGATTCATTATTTCTCTAATTTCTAAAGTTCTATGATTTTTTCTTCTTTTTTTTTTTTTTTTTTTTGCTGATGGGAACTGAACAGAGTCTCACACATGTTAAGTACACACTCTACCACTGAACTATACCCCCAGTCCTAAAGTTCTGTGATTCTTATAATAAGTAYTTACCCGCAGAGATTGTTTCCAAAGAATATTATCAAGAATTTACCTCACACCACATTTTACTTACTTTTTATATAGTTCCCTGATTGTTTCTCTCTTTTCCCTTTCTAGTATATACTTCTTACTCATGAATAGCGTTAATATATTCCCACAGATAAAACCTTAGTCATGAAATAGATTTTGCTCATTTAATATTCTGATGAATGCCACCTGCCCTTTGGGGACAGGATGGCATGGGTGAAGAGCTGAGAACTTGGAAATCAAGCTGGATTAAAATCTCAGCTCTACCATTCTCTGTGTCACACTAGGCAAGTCACATAGGCCCTTGGTTTCCCCTCCTAGAAAATGGGGCCAGGGAGAGGTTAGCTATTATGTGTTTTCCTTTAAAGCATTATCCATGTCAGATATTTTCCTGAGACGAAGGTATTAGCTTTAGAGCAGAAATAAGGCACCCTGTGAAAAATGCAGGCTGGAAGTCTGATTTTGAGACACAGTCTCACCAAGTTGCTAAGGGTGACCTGGAAATTGCTATGCTTCCTGCCTCAGCCTTTCGCCTGGGCTTGATAACAGGTGAGCACCACTACTCAGGCTCATCTTCCATCGCTTCACCCATATGTTTCCATTCTTCCTACTCAAAGCTAATTGAAAAGAGAAATTACTTTAAAGGCCTAATTGACTTTTTCTAGAGTAATTTTAAGTTTCCCACAGAGCTAACACAGGACCCTTCTATGCTGACTCTGATAAATGGGGGGGCACCTCCTATAACGGGTGCTGTGAATCTCATATTTTGGAAAATGGCACATTCCAAGTTTGTCAATGGCGCTTGGTTCCGGAACTCCATTCTTTTCCTGTCAGTCCAACATGGCATCTCCTAAGCTGGCTTCCAAGCCTTCTTATTTCCTTAGGGCATAAAAAGCCCCTATGTCTAATGTGTTTTCTGGATATTCAGATGCATGAAAATATTAATAAAAATTATGTGCTTCTCTTACCCCCATAAAAAAGGATTAGAAATAAGGCATTTTACAGACTCTCTTTTCCTAGGCTTTAAAGTGCTTTGCTCAAATTTGGTTCCTTAGATCATTTGTACCTATTAAATATCTAACTCAAATTGAATAATTCTGAATTGAAAGTTCCAATATTGATTGGAGAGCATTAAAAGTTAGTGGCAGTATAATATTGAGAGCATAGGATATATAGTTGAATTCTCCTGTGTGTGTTACACTTTTATGTTAATTTTCACTATCAAAAAGATTATAGTTTACTGAATTGCTCTATATCATTTTTCTACTAAATATTGAACATAATTTTGTTTTGATCCTTTTTAAATAAATAAAAATATTTACTTTACATTTTCTGGTTTTTCTTAGCACCAAACACCAAAGATTTGGATGTTTTTCTTCGGAAACAGGAATCAGGGTTTGGCTTCAGGGTGCTGGGAGGAGATGGACCTGACCAATCTGTAAGTGTAAATACTTTGGAATATGGCCATTCCTGTTAAAATTTTTGAGTGGCAATTTGGTGAAATATGGTGGATTTTAAGGGTTTTTTTTCTCTTATAGTTTTAATAATATGAGGAAGAACTGCATTTATATGAGTATCACAGTCCCCCAGTTAACCTGGTATAGTTTAGGGTAAAAACTGTAGGTAAAAACTGAATATGTCAGCTGTTCATTGGACAGTGATTATTTTCTTTGGAACTAATTGAAGTTTGTTTGGAGCGGAAAGTGTTAGCTTTTTGCCACTATGATGAATACCTGAGAAAAATAACTTAGAAGGGAAAAGATTTATTTTGGCTCAAGGTTTCAGGGATTTCAATCCACAGTCAGCCGGCTCCTTTGCTCTGGGCCTGAGATGAAGCAGAACATGAAGGTGAAAGGTCTGGTGGAGGAAAGCTGCTCAGCGATGGTAACCAGTAAGAGGTGGGCAGAAACAAAACATAGTCCCTAAAGCACATGCCCAGTGACCCACTTCCTTCAACTAGGCCCCACCCTAACCCTACAATTTTGCCATAGTCCATTCATATTATTAATCCATCAATGGACTGATCTATTGATAAGGTCAGAGGTCACTTTCCAAAATTCACACCTTCAAACCTTACTGCACTGAGGACTTACCCTCCAACACATGAGACTTTGGGGGATGTTCTAGATCTAAACCGTAACACTGGGGGATATAGCTTAGTGGTAAAGTATGTGCCTATCACGCACAAGGTCCTGGTTTTCATCCCCAGCACCAGAAAGGAAAGGCTGCTTTAACTTTTTATTACCTTTACCTTTGTTAAACAGATTCTAAAACATTTTTCTTCTTTAAAAGACCTATAATCCAGTGTCCTCTTTGCTACAACCACTCTACTTTCTGAATGCTCCATAGAAAGTTGGCATGAGCCTATGCATATTATTTCACCTAGTCTTGATATAGGGTAGGGTTTTCATGCTCAGTACTTTACATCATTTCGTTTGTTAGCTAGAGGAATATAAAATAATTAATATTTCTGTCCAGAAGGCATAAGAGCTACATTTGCAAAGCATTTACAATCTAGAATTTTGTTTATGCATAATTCTCATATAAACTTAATTTTGTTTTTAAGTTTTGCGCTTGGTATTGAATGACAAAGAGTAAAGGATTACCTTCTTATACTTGGAAGCTAGATAAGCAATACTTTTTTATGACATTTCTTTCTATAGCTGAGTGGATCTCTTTTATATATATATATAAATATATTCTAATAGTCATATTGTTTATAATTACAGTAATCACTGGAACCACATGAAGCTTAAGGCACCTTGCTCTGTATAGAGCAAACATAAGAAACTTTGTTTTTGATGGTATATGTATTTTTTATTATTTCCTTTTTTTTCATATTCATAGTATTTTCTTAGACTTTTGAAGAATTTGTTTTTAACAACTCAAGAACAGTCTTTCTCTTAAATGTCAGGTTCTCCCAGGTCTGAAACTAGTCTAAAATTCAGGATTGCCTAATTATAGGAGTCTAATTATTGGTGAGCAGAATGAACCAGATATGCAAGTGGATACTAGTAGATGCAAGTGAGGAACACTTGTACTGTCAGTGATTGAAGAATCATAAAAATGATCCCAGTTGCTGTGAAAAATATGTAGAAAATTTTTCCTGACAGAATAATCAGACTTGTACTCTTAGTAGCTACTCCACAGAATTGCATTTTCTGAGTTTGCTTTGTTACATTGTGGTGATGGAGATCATGGTGCTTTTTGAGTTATTGAACAACTTTGTATTTTTTTTTATTTACTCAACCCTGAGAAGCTAGAAGGATTACATTATGCACTGTGGTTATTTGAAGTGCCATTTTAGAGAATGGGCACTTTTTAAGATATCACCTTTTTGAAATTGACTAAATTCATAGATGAACTGCAGAAGGTTGTTGTTTTGCACACTGCTGAGTCAGGGAGTCCTCAGATCTTCAGCTAACCTTGGTAGATTGTACAAACCAACCTACACTTTATCTTACCAGATATATATTGGTGCCATTATACCCCTGGGAGCAGCTGAGAAAGATGGCCGACTCCGTGCAGCTGATGAACTAATGTGCATTGATGGAATTCCTGTTAAAGGGAAGTCACACAAACAAGTCTTGGACCTAATGACAACTGCTGCTCGAAATGGCCATGTGTTATTAACTGTCAGAAGAAAGATCTTCTATGGAGGTCGGTGAATCGTTTCTGCTTTGAAAAGTTAAGAAGAAAAAACAAAGAGACTTAGTCTTCTTTCTAGGTGGCTTTGCAGGGTATTTTATTATATTTAGTAGTATATGAAATAACCACTTGATATGACCAAAGACCCCATTGTGGAAAGCCATGTAAGGTCAAAAGGATCCAGAAATAATGCCATTATAAAAACAAGGAAAAAGTTTTGGACCTCTTTAAGATTATATTGATATATTGATAAATTTTACCAACATAGCAATGCAGATCAAATGAGGGTTTAAATSTAGTTTGGTTTGGTTTGGTTTTTGCAGTACTGGGGATTGAATCCGGGTCTCACACATACTAGACAAGAACTCTACTACTAAGCTGCACTCCCAGCCCTTTTTACTTTTTTTTTTTTTTTTTGGAGACAGGGTTTCACCAAATTGTCCTGGCTGACCTCAAATTTAAATTCCTCCTGTCTCTGCCTCCCAGCTAAATTCTTTTTTTTTTTTTTTTAACAGATGGACAACATGCCTTTATTTTATTTTTTTCATTTTTATGTGGTGCTAAGGATCAAACTCAGTGCCTCACACATCCCGGGCAAGTGCTCTGCCAACCCCAGCCCTAAAATTCATTTTTTTAGACAAATACAATTATTTATCAAGGTATCCCWCTAGCTGAATATCAAAAGATTTTGGATCCTGAGGAAATCCCAGATATTCCAGGAAAGTGAAATTTTTCTTCAAGAAAAGTTTTAGTATAATATAATTTAACATTTATTGGGTACTTACAATGTCCCAGATGCATGAGTTATTTTATTTAGTTCTCAAAACACTATGTTGTAAATATTGTCATGAACTAGTTGTATAGTAGCTCACAGGAATATTAAGAGACACATAGCTGGTAGGGAGTAGGCTGGGATTAAGTCATGGTTTAACTGCCAAGCCCAGGGTCTAAACTATGACATTAGGATATGAATAATTCTTGCAGTTTTCTTACCAATAGTTTTGTGAATATAGAATTTTTAAAAGCGAATTCACTTAGAAAAAGACAACTCTAGCACAAGAAACATTATGGGTATTATTTGTTCTATTCGTTTAGTTTCTGCTGTATCCCCAGCACCTAATGCCTGGCACAGAGTAAACATCAGTAAATGTTTGTTAACTTGATGAATATTCATATAATTCTTTTTTTGTTTGTTTGTTTGTTCCTGTTTTGGGGGGGGGGGTTGGTTTGTTCATTTGTTTGTTTCCACTGCTAGGAATGGAACCCAGGGCCTCACTGGGCTACACTTCCAGCTATTTTGTAACATCACTCTTAAAAAATGATTGCAACATCCAGCTGGGCATGGTGATGCATACCTGTAATCCCAGCAGCTCGGGAGGCTGAGATGGGAGGATCTTGAGTTCAAAGCCAGCCTCAGAAAAAAGTGAGGTGCTAAGCAACTCATGAGACCCTGTCTCTAAATAAAATGCAAAATAGGGCTGGGGATATGGCTCAGTGGTCAAGTGCCCCTGAATACAAAAAAAAAAAAAAAAAAAAAAAAAAGATTGCAACATCCAAAATAATGGTCCCCCCTCTCTTAGTAAATATCAGTCATTTAGAGAAACACATAGAATGTAATGTGATTCCCTCAGTTTTGTTGTGCTAGAATTAGAGCTTATCTACATTCAGTAAGATCATGAAAAACATGGAGAAAGATGCATGAAGAAATATCATAGTAGTTTGGCATTATCAGAGACATTTTAACTAATTCATTCTAACCATACATTATGCAGGAATTTTTTTTCAGTGATTGGATATTGGTGGAATTATGTTAAGATTCTGAAACATATTCTTAAAATCATATAAATTTTCAGCCAAAAGAGACCTTAAAAATATATATTCCACCATAGTAGTATGTTGGGACTATTACTGATGTCCAACAAAATGATCACACAAAATAAGCCTCTTTTTTTTTTTTTTCTTGCAAGATTGAAAAGATAAGAATTTATTTAAGTGTGAAGAATAGAAACAGAACTCTTGCAGAGGCAAGAGGGGACCTGATAGCAGGTTACCCAAGCCTTTTTTTTTTTTTTTAATCAATTAGAACTAAATCATGTCATTCTCAGATTCCAGTGTCATCCTTGAATGGCAGAAAAAGGTGTGAGTTAAATGCCCATTTTGTGGAGATCCTTTATGATCTTATGTGTGCCCAGCACAGTCTGCTGTTCATGTGCACAGTTTGTTATGTGCCCCAGAAAGTGGGGGAAAGAAAGACCAAGAACTGCTAAAGATGAACTCATTTAATCTCATCAGATCAGAAATATCAATTGTAAAACACATTATATAAGGCAAATCCTGTGCAGATGGCAGACTGTTAGAATGGGACAGCATTTGTGTTCTCATGCTTTAACCAGACATTGATGAATATTGTCACTGAATTAATTTATATTTATAGTTGATATACAAAGAAAGTTTATCATGTAGTTCCTTATTATCTACTTTTGTTAAAATAACTGGTCAAGGTTATAAACCTTGACRTAACTAAAACAATTTCAAGAAGAATATTTTTACTATCAAACTTCACAGAGGCTTTGAGAAACTTTATTTAAAATGAGATAACACTAGATCATATATATTTGTCCAATATATACTTTAAGTATTTAGAGAGCCACATACTGTTGCTGCCTTTATCTGTACTCAGATTATACTCAAAACTCACATTGGGAGGCTGCTTTTGTATTCTTTGTAACTAGAAACTAAATTTTATTTGAGAGGCTTAGCACAAAAATACTTTATTTACCAAAAATTATGATTTTCCAGAAATATCAAAACTAACTATATTTGTTGTAGAGAAACAACCTGAGGACGACAGCTCTCACGCCTTCATTTCAACACAGAATGGATCTCCCCGCCTGAACCGACCAGAGGTCTCAGCCAGGCCTGCTCCCCAGGAGGCCTATGATGTTGTCTTGCAACGAAAAGAAAATGAAGGATTTGGTTTTGTCATCCTCACCTCAAAAAATAAACCACCTCCAGGAGGTAAGCGTTCCTATAATCTATCATCTCTCCCTGTAAGTTTACCGTTCTGAGCCTCCCACTGGAATTTATAAGATTAATTAGGAACCATGTATAAATGTCCTTAGAGACTTATTTTTTTTAAATAGTGAATATTTTTCTATTTTTAAAAGTAGGAAATCTGAACCAAATCTTCCAGGCTTCAGATTTATCCATCATCTCAGATTCCATAAAATAAGTTTCAGCTCAGTTTGTATCAAGATTGTACAAATGACCTGATTTAATAGATTTAAAGAAAATTGGTTTTTTTTTTAATTTCTTTTTAATTTTTGGGCACAGTGTTTTTAACTTAGAAGTCATGTGTGTAGAAATGAATTAAATACTAGAAGCAATTGAGAAAAAGCAAAACAGATTAATGGAATATCTATCTTGACCCAAATATGTCTTAGTTCTTTCATATTACTTAATAATAATTGCTATATTCTGGCTATAAATTGTTGAATGATAAGAGGCCTTCTCTCCTACCTTTCATATATATCTCACTAAATGCTAAACCTTTGAAAATTAATCTGAATATCCTGAACCAAGTTTAACAGAATTCTTATATCTGGGAAGGATGAACATGCACGCACACACGCTCCAGTTCCATCAACAAAGGAGGGAGTACATGTGGGAAATTCGGGGCTGTTATGATTCACCAAATTAAATGTTTGTCTTGTCTTGATATTTCTAAGAAATTATAATCTTTATATATAATTATAAAATCCAATTGAATGTAAAATGAGAAACATCACATTGATATATATCATGCTTGTCTGAAGGTAACTTTATTTTTCTAAGTCACATAATACAAATGTTGACCACATGAAAATATGCCCTTGCTTTTGCCAATGGATTTGATTATATCTTGAATAGGGAGATCCTTATAGACTAGATGGTCATGAAAACCTTAGTGAAAAAAGAAAACACTTTCAGGAAATTGTTATGAGCCAAACCAATTTGCAAAAAAAAAAAAAAAAAGGTAAAATTAATGCAAGTGTGTAAAGGAAGAAGAGTCTATGACATGGATGAGTTATTGCTATAGTGTCAGGTCACTGCTCACTGATACTAGTTTCCATTTTCTGAAAGCAGTTGCTATGGCAACACTTGGAACTGGAACTGTCACTGATGCTGTGAGGATGATTATGTGGCCTGTGTCAAAAAAATGAAAGGAAAGCAGCCTTTAGGTGGTTTTTGTGTTGTATCATTGGAAGTCAGTCTTTTAAAAAACAAATAACCATTTAGGATAATTACATTGTCATATACCATATAATAATCTCAGACATTTAACAGAAATAGTGAAAGATTATTACTCAGTGTCATAGATGCTAAACACTTCTTAGATTGTATTCCCTTACTAGCACTGCAAAAATGAGCAGTCTAATGTTTACCGTAAAAATAAGTGATATAAAAGAATTCAGTGAAAACTTGTATTAAACATGTTTAAACATATTTTTGTAAGTATTTGTTTAGATTTAGCTTTTTAAATGTTTTCTTATTAATGTTTTTTTTTTTTTTACTTCAGTTATTTTGATGGTTTTACACGTAGAGATGATCAATCTCTAAATAAGGTAGTGTCATTAAATGTTGGGTTTTGTAGTTATACAAACTTGGATTCAAACCCTGTGTATGTCTTTAATAATGATCTGATTTGGGGTAGGTTATTTACCCATCAAGAGCCTGGAACTTTAGTACATGTTAACTGATGCCGCCATTGTTATCATCATCATCATTATTTAGGAAATTTCTACTGGCTCTTGAACTGTTTTGTTTTGTTTTGTGAAGGCATCTCCATCAAACTAGAGGCTGGTCTTGAATTCATGGGCTCAAGCAATCTTCTCGCCTCAGTCTCCTGAAAAATTGAGACTCTAGTCTGCACCAACACATCTGTGACCTACTTTTTTAAAGAAATTTTAAAACATTTGTTGATTCTTAATAATGAGATGGGAAAGAAAGCTCAATTAAAATGTACAATCAAGGCAGCAGCTAATATGTGGCAGGAAATGAGTGTTTGCAGTTCATTGATTATCAGTCTGAATGCTAAAATATGCTTAAGTTGTTGATAAATTTTATATAAAGTACCTGAGATTTTCTGTCATGGTGCAAAACCAGAATTCACTGACCTGCTAGTTAATAATCTCACAAAATGCTGACCCCTCATGCCTTCTTCTTTGAATGTCATTCATCTCATACAGATAGACTGGTCCTGGGGTGAGTGAGTATGAAGAGCTTTCCCTCACAGAGACTGAGCACTTGCTGCAATCTCTGTAGCAAAGAAGGTGTGGTTTACAAGGGAATTAGTAGCAGTGGAGAGGCAGGAATCCTGTCTGTAGATTCTTCACTATGGACTTCATCTTAGAACTCTGCTCAACCAAGGTTACTTTCTTCTGAGTAAATGTATTTTCATCAGGTGACATACATCTCAGAAAGAGTTCCTCGTAGCATTTAGAAATTCTGAGATTCTCCCCTGTTAACTCTGTTGAAGACTGGGATCTGGGTTAGCGTCCCAGTATGCGTCAGTGCTGAATGAGCACTGTGCTTAGAAAAGGCCTCTCTTAAGGTGAAAAAGCCCTGCTCATTTTCACTTTGCCAGTACTTCGAAGCTTTTAATGTTACTCTTATTGTATTGGTTTTCAGTTCTTGTTTGCAGAGGATTTCTTTAAGAAGGGGACATTTCTAGTTACTGTCCTTTCTGATCCTGAAAAGAAATGTTGAAGAGCACTAATGTGATCTTAGCATCCAGGAGGCAGACTGTAAGACAGATTGAGGCCACAGATGAATGAAGATGGATGAGCTGGCTTTGTGGCGAATGCCCTCAGGCTGTGTACACAACAAAACCAAGGCAGGGCTGGGGGTTATCCTGTAGGTAGGGGTGTGTGTGCTCTAAGGGAGCACCTGGCAAAACTTCCCAGTCCATTCAGGACCTTTCTGCTGGTCTGTTTGTGACTTTTAGCTGTCTTGATGGTACTGCTATAAATACCAAGACAGTAGCAATCTACTTTCATCTCCCCTCACCCAGACAACCAACCCTTTAGGAGATTGTATACTGCCGTTTGCCAATTCCTTTTTGCCACATTGCTCACATGATTAGATAGAGGACAGCTGAGACTTCAGAGGTTAATTCTGTTTGCTGCTTTCCATTCAATGTGCCAAGAAGCTGAATAGTTTTCTTCTCAGGGAATCTAGAATGAACATTATGTACGAGGAAATCTTTTCTAAGAAGGAGAATAACTAAGAAGATTTAGAAGGTCATCACAGGGCCACCATGCTATTCACCATGTGTTTGTGATGCGCCACCTGTTGTACTGTTAGTGAATCCACTCATAATGCCTGGCACAGGACATGTCTCATACTGCACTGACATATTTCTAATCATTCTCTTTGCAAGGAAAATTGAATCTTAAGTGCTGGGTGTAAGTCAGAGCTAAAAGGCACTTGCTTCCAACATTGACTTTTTTCTATTTTAAGATAAAATCTCCCACTATATAATCTGAGAAGAGCCAAAGTACTACATCAGTAAGGACATAAATCATGACCAAGAATAACTTTTCCACTCCAAATGAGGCTCTATTAAAATGTCCCTAACATACTCTTAGATATGATTCAGAAAACTAGTAAGGAGTGGCATCTAAGAATATTAATTATTCCTATTCATATCAATCAGTAGTCAACCAGAGCCCACATGCCTGATTAAGTTTATGACTTAGGCTAGGAAGTTCTCAAGAGACCCTGGAAGGAACATTTGTTCCAATACAAATGCCCTTTATTGCACAGTGGAAGATATTTTGTTTGATATGATTCCTGATTATCTAAGAATTTATTCTAAACTGTGATAAGAGCAAAGCATCTTGCCGGTTAGGCTGGGAAAGCCCTCAGTGTTCTGAGGTAAGGGTGCCGTAGCACTGCACAGAGTGTCTACAGATATGTGAGACAAGTCTTTGTGTATTCAGAACAGAAATGAATCCATGAGCCAAACAGTCTTAACCTTAAATATGTAATGTTCTAACTTCACTCAGCTTTTGACTTTTAAGATCTAAGGACACAAAAGAAATTAATTTTTTATAGAAATATGATTCATTTTAATGATCAGTCTTTTCATTGTACCTGGATTTCTGATCAGTAATTATTGAGTCCTAAACTTGAGTTTGATCTGCATTTATCTAAAAGGTTCCTTGTGGGAATAAGTGCCCCTTCAATAAGGCCAGAGAGAGAGTCTCATTCATTGTATCAGATTTCAAAATAGCTGAAAGCTTGATAAAGTCCTAATGGCCAACAACAAACAAGATGTCAGATCAGTGAGATATTATCAATATCAGTAAGGTCAGTAGCCCTTAGACATGAAAATTAGGATTACGTTACAAAAATTGGAAAAAGACCAGGAATTGAGGTATCGGGGAGGGAGGGAGCAAGAGCTGTTATGGGTTCCAGAGCTGCTGAGTAAGCCTAATGAAGATGGCAACTTCCCAGAAGCACCAAGACTTTGTGGGGAGCCTGGCCCCAGGGAAGTCCTGAACAAGAAGCTGAAGGAAAGAGGCTTGGACAAGGACTGTGTGGTCGTTGGCCACTTTCTGGTGCTAAAAAAAGGAGAAGTGGCTGGAGGCTACATGTGCTGCCAACACAAGCCACCCTGGGACTGCCCTGGGTGCCTTCCAGAGTGATGTGCCACCTTCTCCTGTGCTCTTTGGCAAACCCTCAACTGCAGTATCTATATTGTGTCTCTAGACGGCAGCCAGGTGGGACCCTGCCTGTCCTCTACCATGGAAAAGGTTGCTGTTGTCGTATCCAGCTCTGACATTCTCCAGGACCTTTTTTGAATTCTTGAATTTTTGAATTCCAGCCTTTTTTGAATTCTCAGTCTTGCACACCCCTCCTTTGTCCCTCCCCTGCCAATTCCATGGCAATAGTTATCTGCTTTTCTGAGTGGATTCCTGGCCCTTTTCCTCACCTCCACCTTCACCTGTGGTCTGTTGGATGCCGTTTGGCTCATTTTTTGGCAGAACAGTTACTGTCATTGTAAAGTTTTTTAGATCAAGTCAGTGGCCTTCAATTTTAAAACAGTTTTCTGGTAAGTGGAAAACAGCAAAGAACTTTATCTCTGTGGTTTTAACTATGTAAAGTGTGCATGTGGTCAGAGAGTGGGAGGGGAATTAAAAATAGCTGCACTTGATAGACAGTGATGTGGGGTGCTTCTTTGCTGTATTTTCAGAGAATTTATTTGATGTTATATGTTGAATTTTTAAATTATGATTATGATGATGAATCCAATACTAGTAGTTACCTTAAATAATTGGAAAACTTGGGGATTCTTTCTCATAGTTATTCCTCATAAAATTGGCCGAGTCATAGAAGGAAGTCCAGCTGATCGCTGTGGAAAACTGAAGGTTGGAGATCACATCTCTGCAGTGAATGGACAGTCCATCATTGAGCTATCCCATGACAGCATTGTTCAGCTGATCAAAGATGCTGGCATCACTGTCACACTGACGGTGGTTGCTGAAGAAGGTAAGGAAGCCTAGGCTCACCTTCCCTGTGGCCGAGAGGCACAGCCTGCAGTGCACCAGCATCACTGCAGTATGGACTGTCTGTGTGCTTTGGGGTCTCATTCTTTGCCTTTTCCATTTAATGGCTTTAAAAGACAGTTTATTATAAAGTTGTCAACAGCTCAAGAAAAATAACCCAGCAAGTGAGTGGTGGCCATTTATTTATGTGCTGGAGAAGCAATCACCCAAAAGAAAGACTGGTAAGACTTTTTAGATGTTATTTTCTTAAATAATGTCTTGAGTCTCTGCTTGAGTGAGAGAAAATCCTTTAAACAGTTCAAAGGAGGTCACTTMTGATATCAAGCCCTTTCATGTCAGGGCCTTTCCGTGGGGGCAGGACTTTGTTCTGGCAGCTGCTTTATAAGCTGGGGATGGGGGAACGTGTAGGAATGGCTGGTAAATAGGGCATAAGACACAGACTGACCGTCCTTGAATAGTGTCACCCTTTGTTTAAAGCTTTTCTTTAATCATCAGGAATTTCTAATTGGGAACCATTTTGAACCCGTCCATGTTCTTTGTTTATGAATTACTAAGTGACCAGTGTGTCGTGCTCATCTCATTTTTCCTGATTTTTTCAAAACTAATGAGGAGAAGACAAAAACAGAATCATGAAGGGCCAGTCATTCATGTTAAGATTCCTCACACTGTGATGTTTATTCTTGTTTTGTTTTCTCTCTCATGGTCCTCTAATGAAGTCAGTTCCTGGGTCCTTTATACTGCTTGATTCTTTCTTTCTGTGCCTGTGGCACCAACCACTCTCATACTTTTCTCTTTAGGGTATTATAAAGTCTTCTTTCCATTCAGGACACTGCGTTGGGGAGCTCTACGTGAGCACCAGCTGCTCTCTGAGGCCCTTTCCAGTTCTAGGTAGGATCCCACAAATACTGGGATGCCTCTGCCTCTGCTCTTTCCCTACTCTATTCTGTTCCCAGGCTCTGCCTAATCTCTGCTGATTCTTCCTTCTAAAATCTTCTTTCAGAGCCAAGTGCAGTACTGCATACCTATCATCCCAGGTACTCAGGAGTTGAGGCAGAGGGATACCAAGTTCAAGGCCAGCCTGGGCAACTTAGCTCTTTGAAGAGGGTATTATTGGCTGTTACACTTAGTAGGTGCTCAGTAAATGTTTTTAAATGAAGGAATGAGTATATAAATGAATAAATGAATGAACAAATGAACAAAATAAAAGTCAGGAGATTTTACTTCTGTGCCATTTCCTGAACAGAAATGCCTGAACCTAATAGAAATAAGACTTGCTACAGAAAGAGTTTACGACCACCTGTTAGCTAGTCATGTGACTTTAAACAAGCTACTTAATGTTTCTAATCTTCAATTTATTATCTGTAGATGGATTTAATAATATCTATTTCTAGATCATTGCAAGAATTAAGGTGAAAATATCTGTAAACCATATAAATATCATAAGTTGCTATCAATAGTTTTGACTGGCTCACTCATTCAGGTGTCTGCTAAAATCTCACCACATCTGGAAATAATAGTAATACTTAATAAGCACTTAGTATTCTTAACATATTAACTCATTTAATACAATAATACTAGGTAGGCATTGTGATTTTCACATCCTGGTAGAAAACTGTTGCAGAGCCATTAGATAATTTGCCTATGGTTATAAAACCAGTTAACAGAACCAGTCTGGCTTCCAGAACTTGTTCCAGAACTTGTTGGGGTTTGTTGTTGGTTGGTTGGTTTCTTTCTTTTTTTTTTTTTTTTTTTTGCTGGGGTTCAAACCCACAACCTCATCTATGCTAGGCAGGCTGTCCTGTGAACTAGAGTGAATTACAGCCCCAGGTCAGAACACATACTTTTAACAGCTGTATTTTCCTTAACAATAGTGTCTAAAATAAACCTCCCCCTGCCTGCTCCTTCTCCTCTTATCCCTAACCTGCTTTGCTTTTCTTCATCTCCCTTATCTCAGAGATTACTTAATTATCTAGAATTATATAAGTTTTGTGTAAGATTCAAGTTAGAGATTTTTTTTTCAGTTTACTGCTAAATATTAAGGGTCCAAAACACTTAGGAAAAATTTTTTTGAATGAAAAAAATATTGAAATTATTTTGAAATGTTACTTAGACATGATATACGTTAAATTTCTTTTTCTTGGTTTCTTTATCTGATCTCCATAGCCTGCATTTTAGGTGTAACATTTATTCTATGACTCATAGGGTAAAAGCAAACCTCTGTGCCACAAGAAATAATATTTCAGGGTTTTTTTCAAAAATGATATTTGCAGTGTGCTTATGTCTTCATGCCTTTGCCATGCAGTAGGGTTAGTAGTGAGAGAATGTAAGGGTCCGGCGAAGCGTCGGAGAAAGAGACCATCAAGAGACCACTCATGCAATTGACAGAAGGGGATTTATTGATCCAGCATGCTGGGGCTCCGTGCCCACTCAAGAAAGGAGAGCAGCCCAGAGCCCAGAGCAGGGGTTGAGCAATGCTTAAGTACACTTTTTTGGGGAGGGCGGAGGCTTTGCATACATCAGGACAAATCATCATGAGGCACGGGAAAATCAAAACAACAACTCTTAGACATGATTAGTACATTCATTGGCGGGAACAGGCTGGGCAGGGGTGATTGGTCACTTCTAAGCGGGGTACACATTCAAACTGATTGGTTTTGGGGCCTAGATGCCTACGTGCAGGGCTACACAGGGCCCTAAGTTATTAAACAACTAAATGGCCAGTAGTGCATTGTCTTAACTGCCTTAGGAATTTCAGGTTCTGTGTATAGTTCAGAAACTTTACAATACGTAGTCCTTTACTTTTTAACTTAGGCTTTGCAGCTTAGAAACTTTACCCTTTCAAGGAAGGGCTAGAAGTAATGGATTAGCAGTAGTAAGTTCAGTCATATCATCTATAGAAAAGGACTAGTGTTTTTTCCCCAATCCATCTCAGATCAGTATTTTTGTGAAATACAATAAAATAAAATCAAGTGAAAAATAAAAACAAAATAATCTGTTAAATTGTTGTAAGATTCATGAATATTTACACTCGGCATCCTGTACATCTTATTGCTGACTGACTGTCGTGAGTGGTAACTGCACACTCTGAGTTGCAGTTACATTCAATCAAATCTATTTTATTAATGCTCCTCATACTTCAGACTGAGTCTACACCTAAGGGTCCCAGACACTCACCTGTGACATGTCTGAAGCCCGGGTTGCTGGAAGTCGATCTGAGCTGGAGGAGTCTGGTGCAGGGGGGACAACAGCAACGGAGGTCTCATTCTTTCTGTCCAGGTCCTATTAGTCCTGTTGCCCCCCAGAAGTCTGGGTTTTTAAGTCCTAGTTCAGTGGTGCTTGCAGCTGGTTACTGGGTGAGGTCTGGGGTGTACACCCAGGTGTAGACTCTTTACATCATTAACTTAAGTCTATCTGAATTCTGCAATTTATCCAAGTATTGCGGTTCACATTGCATCGTGGGCACATCGCTTATCATAATTTACTTATTCACTCAACACAACACTAATTAATATAATCAACAGTCAGCAATCCTATAATATTTCTGGTGCTCATGTCACTCGCCCACAAACCATACTTTGTAGCCTTGGGATAGATAGTTGAGTAGAAAGATCATTTCTTTCTCTTAGTATTTTTTCCAATATTAATATTGATTATTGATGGTGTCTGTTCTGAGGTCATCCAGAAATGCTCATTTTTCTTAAAGTAAAAGTTTCCTTTGACATTCTGGCCCAATACTTGTGGACTCAAGCTTTCCTGGATGATGGCATTCACAGTTTGAGAGAAGTGGAGAAGGAAACTTCTTAATAGATCGATTCTTAAAATACATTCAATGCGTAAGCACAGCCTCTTAAAATATAATCATATTTGAATTGTAAAAATCACATTTCAGTGGTTACACAATATTTTATTGTACTGTAGGTTTTGATTAAACTTTGGAAACATTTAGAATCCCTTCTCTTTTTTTTCAGGGAAAAATAGAAAGTCTGTCCTCTCTCCATAAAAATTTCATTCATGGGGTTTGTAAATCTTCCAAGTTTCTCATTGAATTCAGTATAAAACCTATCAACTGCACCACAGCCAAATGAATATTTGTAGCTCTAAAGCTATTTTCAGATATCACACATTCAAATCATTCCTTAGAACTACATTGCTTCTCATCCAATACTGCTTCCCCGAGCCATTCACTATTAATAGGTAACAGGCAGTTTCCTGGAAAAAGAAGAACTATTGTTCCCACCATCCTTTTTCCTTCCTTTTACTGGATACTATTTAGTATCTGTGCTGTTTTGCCAAGGAAAAGGCAGAGTAAGTCCCAGAAAACTCTCGAGCTAGGCACTCATGACATGATAACTCCACCTCATGGCATTCCCACAATACCCCGTCTTCCTCCCCCTTGGGACCTTGTTCTCAAGTATGGAACACAAAGTGACTATTCTGGTAGTTTCTGCTTACTGTAAAGAAACCTTTGTGTTGTATTATTCTTTCAAATTGATTTCCAATTTTGTCAAGTGTTGTTTATTTGATTTTCAAGACTGAGCATGTTACCAAATGCTATCAAGGACTCATATTGGAGTGATTCTGGTAGCGTTGGCATGATTTGGTTTTGTTTCCCACTTATTTATTCCCACTTGTCTCCATATTCCACTCCTTTCTCTCACTACTCCCACTGGCAGCCATTCTAGTATGTTTTACATGCCTCATTTTTATTTATGTATCTTTTGAAATACATTTTTATTCTGTGTTGGTATTTATTTTTGAGTTATATAAATGACATTGTGTTAGAAATTTTTATGCTGGTTTTTTTCCCTCAGAACCCTGGTTTTTTTTTTTTCTTTTTAAAACAATATTTTGCTTTTCCAAGATCCAATCTGGGATTCCTCCTGGCATCTAGTTGTCACGTCTTTTTTCTTCTTCTTCTTCTTCTTCTTCTTTTTGATTGAGCTATAATTTACATACTGTAAAACTCATTTTCCTAACATGACA